GTGCCAGTAATACAATTTAACGTTTTTAGAAGGTCTCTTTCTATAAGTCTATAATACATAACTAAACTATTGTTGTATATAAAGTAAATAAGGTTTTTAAAATGTTTAAGAAGCTTCATTTAAAATTCAATTAAAATGCAGAGCCCCCTGGACGGGTGGCCAGGACCCGGGCAGTGTGAGTGCCACTGAAAATCAGCTCGCGTGCCGCCTTCGGCACGCGTGCCATAGGTTGCCTACCCCCGTCCTATTATGATTTAAAAAAATTAAAAACCTTTTTTACATCTCAGCTTATTACATATATCAAAACTAGAAGGTATTCTACATACTACCAGATTGAACATACTCCTGATTAGAAAGTAGCAACAGCTTAATACAGCGTGTACAATTACATCTTGGAGGGCATAGCTCTCTTCATCCTGCGTAATGTAACCTGATGCCCTTTATGATTGCTACCAAATAAATCAATATATAAACACCAGGTATTTATGAAATACCATAGCCTTATAGGAATACAGGAAAGGAAATGTAGGATATACAAGTAAGGCCACAGTAATGCATCATAAAATACTGAAAAGAGACACATAATAGGAATAATATTACATTACTCAGAGTGAAATACACACATTATTCTGTGAAACTGCATAATCCAAAATAATATCAAAGCAATTAAAGATATGTTGGATCATTCTGCTCTGATTTGAATTTCAGTTATAAAAAATAATTGGATTACATTAAGTAGTTAACTAATTTGTTACTTTAATTTGCTTAGGGTACTATTACAACAATTTATTTAAAATGAAAAACTGATCTAACTATTACAGTTTCCTTATTTTATACTAAATAAATAAAATTGGACCCATAGTAATAGAGCATAGTTTTAATGTATTTTAGATTATAAAAAAATCACTTTATTAAAGTTCAGTTTAATAATAGACATGCCAGGGGATAGAGAAAATGATGCATTATTTCTAAAAATAAAAGGATTTCTCATTATTTTCATTCTGAAAAACAAAACCCTTTTGCTTTATTTAACTTGAGAATCAGGATGGCTTTCTTATTAGCTAACCACTCACCAAAACAAATAGGTTTGTTATCATACTTCTGCACATCACATCCAAGGCTATTCCCATCTTTTTATGACCTAGTTATTTTATTTCATTTTTTGCATTACTTAAATAAGAATCTGACATTATACATACATACAATTATTAAGTGGTAAGAGGTCCCCTTCCCTGATGTTTTTGTTATACTCCTTGCCAGAGCAACAAGAGATTATGGACCAAATTTTCACATATGCAGATCCATGTAGAGAAAATACAAACAAAGTGCATCTGTGATTGCATGCAAAAATCAGGTAAACACATGCACAAACCATTTGATACCTAATTAGCTTTTGCATGTGCAATTCCTCTCTTTGTACACACATCTGAAAGTGTATTTTTACAAGCAAGTTTTTTGTATGTGAATCAGAACTCTAACTTTAAAAATGTTGTATATTTGCCTCTCACTCTGAAATCATTAGCGACTATGAGCTAAATTCTTGACCCCACCTACTGCAGAACCTCAATTACAAACACCTCGGGAATAGAAGTTGTTCATAACTCAGAACAAAACATTATGGTTGTTCTTTCAAAAGTTTACAACTAAACATTGACTTAATACAGCTTTGAAACTTTACTATGCAGAAGAAAAATGCTGCTCCCCCCCCTTTGTTTTTAGTAATTTACATGTAACAGTACTGTACTGTATTTGCTTTTTTATTATTATTATTATTTGGTCTTTACTGCTGCCTGACTGTGAAGTGTGTGATTGACTGGTCAGTTTGTAACTGTGTTGTTCTTAACTCTGAGGTTCTACTGTACCTATGCAGAGTTCACAAGGAAATCAATGGGAGTTATATCAGAGTATCTGAAGGCAGAATTTGGCCCATATTCTATAATTTCAATTAATGCTAAATAGGGTTCCTATCTCCTGGCAAATTTTAAAGATAGGCAGTTATGGCCAATGGGAGCTGTGGAGCTGGCCCTTGGGGCAGGGGCAGCGCCTCCTTGGCCACCCATGAGTCTAGGGGCTGCAGGGACCTGGGAGCCAATTCTGGGAGCCGCGTGGAACTAGGGCAGGCAGGGATTACCTGCCTTAGCCCCGGGCTTCTGCTGCACCGCCAGCCAGGGTCCCTTTTCGACCAGGCATTCCGGTCAAAAACCGGATGCCTGGCAATCCTAATAACCTCAGGAGACAGCGCTTTCACAGGTACGGGAACCAAGCTATGGAACTCACTACCAGATGAAATGGATTATTAACCTCACTACATTCAAGAACTAAACACAACCCTCACCCCCTTTCCTCCCAACACTTTCCTGCAATAATAATCTCATTCTCATGTATTTTAAAAAAACCTAAACCTGCCTCTTGATAGCAAAGGAGACAGATATGATTGGGATTTTTACCTTTGTGAGGAAATGAGATGCTTGATGGTGGAGGCTATATAAATATTTAGACAGACAGATAGAATAGATAGAAGTAGGGAGACTGAGGAGTGAATGGTAAATTCAGTAAACACTCCAGCAGGAGATGCTTTCAGTTTTGCTTTCATTTCTTTTTTTAAAATGAGAGCCTCAACCACCATTCAGTCAGATTGGACACAATCACTCATGAATTATGACATGTCCAGAGCAGTGGATTCAGTGTAGGAGAGAGGTTTGCTTGGCTGAAGACTCAAGAGGGATGACTGAGAAGTAGAATGGCAAAACTTTTCCTATGCACATCTCAGCACCACTCACTGAAAACATCCTTGGGATCCTCTTTTCCTTTCATGAGCCACAATAGGCATCCTTTTTTTTCCTCTTTGAAAATCTGGCCTCTGTACATGTATTGGATAGGGGGATTTTATATTGTTGCCCAATATGGCTTTCTGCTTCTGGTTTGTCTGCTTTCAAACATGAAGTGACCAAGAGTACAGCAGTTTTTGGTATCTGGTGATTTTACACACATGGATCTTTAGAAATTGTCCATACCTTTATTTATTATTTGGCTCATAAATCATAATGAAGTTGGCAGAAACACACTACTATGAAATGGGGGGGAGGGGGAAGAAACTCTCTAATTCTAAAGCTTTTCTTCCATTTAAAATTCCATCTTTAGTTATTCTTCTTACACACTGCTTCTGTTTAGGATTTCAACATATTAAATTTACAATAGTTTTACTATGAATTGGTTTACTTCAGATATGGAAAAAATGCTAGTAAATAGCACATTCTCTCCTTACAATACATTTCACATCTCAGACACATGCATGAATCTCTCACAAACATTTGCAGTGCTTAACTTTGGCTATGCTAAGTAAACTGCCAAACAAATATCAAGGCAGGGACATAATTTACTATCCCAGTGATTTTCAGAAAAGCTTTCAATAACAGTGCTGTGCTCAAATCCACACAGTACAGAAAATATATATATGGAAAAGGGTACAGGCGCAAATGCTCCTGAATTTACTCATGACACAATTATGACTACAAAAATGTATCAGATTTTAAACACGTATGAGCCCGTATGCATAGTGAAGATAATTAGGCATGAACAAAAAATAATCTGACACCATACACTAAAAATAATCGTAATACAAACATGGAGAGATAGAGAGGCAGGCAGACCAGGAATGAGTGTGGATAATATAATAAAACCATCTGCAAAATAGCTGGCAGCAGTTAAAAATGTCAATTGCATATATATTGGGGCTTTTAGTATAAATCAGTTGAGGGCTCTATGGTGTCTGGTAGGCAATGCCCAAGTTGTGGGTAGTAAGAAGCCACACCACTTGAGGGGGAACATACGGGAGAGTGCAAATTGCTACACCTCTTTAAGGGCTAGACAGAATATAGCCCATAATTGTTAGCGCTCTCTAGAGATCTATTTAGGTATTTACAACCCACTCATCATGGACACATATCTAAGCCCATTTCAAAAATACTAGTAATCTGAACACATTTGAAGTTTGATTCTTTCCCCATTTTGGGGGTCCTCATATTCCTCCCCTTCTTCTTCCTTGCATCATCACTAGTGTATTAATTACTCATTTTGGGGAGCTGGTCATTATTGTGAGAAAGCCAGGATGAAGAGAGGAATCTTACACAAATTAGTTCTGAGGGATCCTATATGCATCTTGCTTCTATTTCTCCTCTACTTAGGCATTCACAGGGTTTATTCCACCCCCTCTATGCACCATTGAACCAGATCTATACCGTCCTTAGATTTCTGTAGTTATTTAAATGGTGAGCTACTAGGTCCTAAAATATCCCCTATGCTTACTGAGAGTTTGGCCTTAACAGCACAGGATTTTGGATATAGCTATTTTTAAGAGTATAAATTCAAATACTGCAATATTCTAGAGTACTATTTTTTTAAAAAGCCAATTGCTCCTAAAAAGATCCACTTTTTAACAACAAAAATCAGAAAACAAGAAAAAACATGAAAATTTACCAGCTTGGGCACAAAGGAACAACGGTCTACATACAACAGTTGTATTGCTTTAGCTTTAAGGCTCCTTTATACCAATATAATTCCTCCATGCTCAATGCCTTACCAGTTATAACTATTTTAACAAAAGGAACAAACAAACCCAACCATAGTACAAACACTGTGTGCAGACCAGGCCAAAATCTACTCACCTTCCTTCGCCAAAGCTCACCATAATCTAAAAAGCCAGAGGAGTGACTTTTTGCAAGGGTATCCTATATATAGCATAACATAACATTAGGGTGACCAGATGTCCCAATTTCATAGGGACAGTCCCGATTTTGGGAGCTTTTTCTTATATAGGCTCCTATTACCGCCCACACCCTGTCCCAATTTTTCACACTTGCCCTCTGGTCACCCTACATAACACACATCTCTAGGAGGTATGCAGTACACAAGGGAGGAGTGGATGTCTTTTTCCCTAGGCATTTTGCTGAGTACCACATATGTTCACAGACCCAGGGATACCAACAGTGGTGCCCTCTTACCAGCGGTACATTAGGGTGGGTCTCCCATATTGCACACAATGCGAGCGCAGAGTCAAAGCCCCCTTGCGCTCCAGCACATCTGGGGGTCCTATGTCCATCCTCAGGTGGGTCTCTCTGGAGCTGCAGGACTTGCTGCACTGTACTGACCCCCCAGACCTAAGCACTCAGCCTCCCCTCTCTCCCGTTCACACACACGGGCTAGGCCCCTCCAGCAGCTCAGCCCCACTTCCCCACAGAAGCCTCCTTGCTCCCAACCCCCTGGGATAACGCTGCGCCCAGCTCTCCCTCGCAGCACAAAAATAGTCCCTAAAAGATGCTAGTTCTTGAGGCCCCAAGTCTCTCAGGTACAATCAGAGACATTCCTACGCAGGCGCCGCCTAATCCCCTTGGTAACGAGAGACGCTGCGAGGAAGGGGGTGGAGCGAAGAGAGCTTCCGCGCTTCGGCCGGGACTATAAGGCTATGGCCCCCGAGCGAACAACGGATCAATGCGGCGCATTGCATGATGGGAAATGTAGTCCAGTAAAGACGGACATCTATTAAACCGGTGATAAACAACATGACTTGGTTTTAAAAGGGGCTGAGGTAGTTGAACCCTCTCCCCCATTTACCGCAGCACCTCCCGGCCTAACCTCTCCCATCTGCCGAGTCTGGAGGGCACAAGAGGCAACAAAGAGAGAAACAAATAGTGCTGTGATGACTTCCAGCTCCCAAGGGGGCCAGGCAGGTATCTCATCATTAACTATGTTGTCTGGTAGCAGCCAGCTGACCCAGTCATGGACCAGTGCCCCCACTGTGTTAATTCCTGTACAAACAGGCCCTGCCCCAAAGAGTTTACAATCTAAGTTAACAGTATTCCTGCTCTGGAGACCAGACAGACAGGGTGTGTCAGAAACAATTTTGCACACACACAGCACTGAATAAATAATTTTGTTTTTGCTCCTGTTATGGTCACAAGAGGGGCCATCCAGCTATACAGATGGCCTTAGAAGTTAAAGGTGAAATCCTGGTCCCATTAAGGTCAATGGCAGAACTCCCACTGACTTCAGTGGGGTCAGGATTTCACCCTAAAGATTTGCAAGATTGGACCTGACTCTCATAAGTAGTTTAAATAGTTTAGGACTTTTTTTATTGATATTTTAAATCTTCACTCCATTTGGACAAGCAGGTGCATAAGTATCGTGATTATAATTTTAGCTCATCAGATGATTTAAAGTTACCTTCAGCAAATAAATCCAAAATAGTATACATAGTTCTACTTACTTTCTATGCCATCAAGACCTCCTTGTAATAAATCTGTGAAACCAGCATTATTCCAAGGAGAGTGTAAACATTCATTTACGTAACAGGATTCAGATGATAAAATAGTAACCTTACCTAACAATATCATGTTATTTCTGTTTCTGCTATTACTGGTATCACTTCACTTTTTTGCAGTTTTTTTTTTTAATATATTGTCCAAATCTTTGGAGATAAAATGCTTTGCTCTAATTTCCTTCTCTATATAAAGCATGGTTTTATTCTGAAAAGTGTTGGTAAAAAGTGACATTAAGGGGTTCCATACCAATTTTGTCTCCATTATTTCCACATTAAATATGTTCTGTTTACAAGCTTTTTTTAAAAAAGTGTTTTTTCTAACTATTGGCCCTGCAAATGAGAGTCACTCTACCCTTTGTGCATCAGCACCTGTAATGAGGATTCTATAGGCCAAAATATTGCAAATGCAACACCTGTGCAAACCCATTTATTTCACCAGTAAATTAACTACATTGTCACTAATAGGGTAGCACTGGTATAACAGACTGGAACTTGGCACAGAATTCTATTGTCAAGAAGGAAGAGAAACCTAGTTCAAACTCTTTTACCTTCTTAGTTATGTTGGCTCTGCTGGAATAATGGGAATAAAAATGTAGCAGAAACTTACTTTTTGTCATTAAAGTGGTCAAATAAAACCCTGAATGCATTCAGGGAGCAGATCTGTTGAGTAAGATGCTTCCATTTTCATTCACTTTTCAGATTAGAGCTGCACTTTAAATATTTAAACATGTTGCAGACTAAGTTAATTAACTTTTAGTTTGCCCCATTGAACAGCTGAAAAGTGTGTATTAAACTGCCATTCACTTCTTCCTTTTCAGCATGTCTGTAAATGTTTATGGATGACTAAAGTCAGCTGCCAATTTACTTCTCTTTACAAATTACAATTAAGCCTTTAATTGATGTTGGTGTTCTCTAAGGCTATGTCTACACTACAAAGTTAAGTTTACTCAAGTTATATCAGTGTTCATCTACCACTGTAATTAAACCACTGTTGCACATCCACACAATGCTCCTAGGATGGTGGAGTGCGTCCACAGTAGGTGCTCTTGCATAGCTATCCCACTGTGCAACTTGCCACCATCTGCTGCTGGGTGTTCTGCGAAGGGTTTGCAGTGCCTCATGGGAGAGGGCTCAGCATTCCATGATGCAGTTTTCTCCATCCCATCATTCCATGGGCTTCCTAGTACATTTTATGCCACTTTTCAACCGACCCTGTAAACTGTGCACCTGCCATCCCTGTCAAAAAGCATGGATCCTGCACTGCTCTCCAGTGTTGTGATGAGCGTTATGAACACAACGCAGCTGATCCTGCAGTATTTCATGAACTGTAAATCGGATGATGACACTGTGGTGTCTGGCCTGCTGTGTGCCATGGTCAGAAACAATTCAAGATTGCTGTTGGCTGGTGGACTGTTGGTTCTGGGCGCGAGAAACAAGCACTGAGTGGTGGGATCGTATCATTATGCAGGTATGGGATGACGATGCTAACATTTCTATCTTTTGGAAGGAACATGAAAATCAAGAGCACATTTGCCATTGAGGCTCTCACAGCTGGGTGTATGTCCAGCAGTCATTGCGAAACAACTCCATCCAGGTGTACTGCGAGGAATGTGTGTGGCTGGGGGGGCAACATGGAAGGCAGTTCTTTAAGGGCTGCAAGGGGAAATGAGCATAGAGGTGTTCTGCCTGAAGTTCAATCAGGGATCTCAACATGTCTGTTTGCTCCCTGAGCAGCTTTATCTTCTGCTTCTGCCCATTTCCTATCCTGACTGTCCATTTGCAGTTTTTCATTGATAGCCTCTCTCCATGATCTCTGCTCGCAATCTGAAGCACCCGAGCATTGTAGCAACTCCCGAAACATGTCTTCTTTACTCCTCTTATTTTGTCTCCATATCAGATGGAGCCACTCAAGCTGGTGTGCAGGAGGAGACCCTCAAGGGCACACCATGTGACGGGGTAGACTGGCCCCGCACTAGGACCAAGAGGGTTAACCCTTCCCTGCTGACAGAAGAAGCCATGCCCCTGAGGCTCTGCTGGGCATGCGCCAACCGGGAGTCAAGTATAAAAGCCTGCAGAGCTGCTCAGTCAGGGCTGGTGGCTGAGGAAGGAGGATGCCCAGTGGAGGCTCCAGCCCAGGAGCAGTTGCGACTCTTACCGGAGAGAGCTGAGGAGCCAGGGACTGGGACCGGAGGCCAGCAGCTGTTGGAATCCCAGGGAGTGCCGGGTGCTGAAGAACCTGGAGACCCTGATGCCACGGGGACTGCTACATTTGGAGAACCGGTAGGAAGTGACCCAGGGAAGGGAGTGGTATCTCCCACCACTCTGAGGGAAGTGTGTTGTAGTAGGATTCCCCGCTGACCCGTGGCGGATCATGCTGTCACTGACCAGGCCTTGGGTTGGAGCCCGGTAAAGGCGGGTGGGCCTGGGCTCCCCTACTGGGCGTCTCTAAACCCTCCTCCCTTTTTGGTGACAACATAGTTCACCGACTCCTCTTTTACCTCAAGGAGATAGATGAACTCTGGCCGCTGGGCCGCACTATCCTATGAGGGGAAGAGAGTTTAGAGACTTCGGCCATTGGGCCATGCTGCTTTAGGAGCACATTATTTGGACTCTGGCCGCAAGGCCGTGTGATCCCCGGGAGGGAAGAGAATTTATAGAGACTCCGGCCATTGGGCCATGCTGCTTTAGGAGCTCACTATAGGGACTCCATCCGCTAGGCTGCATTATCCCATCAGGGGAAGAGAGTTTAGAGACACTCTGGCCATTGGGCCACACTGCTTTAGGAGCGCACTATAGAGACTCCGGCCTAGGCCCCCACTATCCCACCAGGGGAAGAGGATTTAGAGGGACTCTGGCCATTGGGCCATACAGCTCTGACTACTGGGGAGGTAGTAGAACCGACGTGGATGCAGGGAGACGGGGTTAACCTCATCCCCCCCTTGAATCGAAGGGGTTGATGAGATACAAAACTCGCCACACACCTGCCCATGCTAACAAAACAATAGGCAGAGGCATTATTGTGAGTGCACTCACACCCTTGAGCCAAACAAGCTAGAAATACAACTTTCTCACTATCCCTTGGCAGGCACACTGCACAGCAGGAGCCTCAGGAGTTTGGCCTGTGGGGGGAAGTGGGGACAAGATGGGACAATGGGTGTGGGGGTTTTCAGAGGGATATCACTACAAGCACCCAGGGTTACTATTCTGAATACTGGCACCACTTTCCACCAGCGGGAGTGATAGCAGGTGATATCTTGCTCCTGAGGGTAACCAGCATGCAAGGTGAAGCTCCTGAATGGTCAGGCTGAAGAGTGGGTCCATATGCGGCTCGCCTATGTGCTGCTATGGTGCCTGTAGAAGTAATTGCCGATTGACACAGCAAAGTTTCCTACCACAGGGGGAAGAAACAAGGCAGCCCTCCCAAGAAACCTTCAGCAGAGGATTGCAGAATACCTCCAGGAAAGTTTCCTAGAGATCTCTATGGAGGATTCCTGGAACATCCCAGTGTTCATAAACAAACTTTTCCTCAGGGCCCCCTCTGCCTAGCTAAACAGGGGAATAAGAAGCCGATACAAACTGTACCTGTGTTGGTTATTTCAATCCTTCTTCTACCCTGATTAAAAAAGCAGAGCATTACCTCATGCCTTTCTGCAGCATCGAAGCACAATGAACAAGGCTACGTTTTAGTCACAGGTAATTTTAATAAGTCACAGACAGTAAACAAAAATTCACAGCCAGTGACATGTCCATGACTTTTACTAAAAATACCCGTGACTAAAACTTGGGAGGAGGCTGCTGGGGGGCCCCATGGGTGCTGGAGGCAGGTGGGCAGTGGCCCAGCTCCCCCGCTGGAGTTGGGTTGTGTGTGGTGGGTCCGGCAGGCTCCCTACCTAGCACCATACCGCCCCCACAGCTCCCATTGACTGCCTCCCAACCAATGCCCTGGGTGGAGGCAGTGCACAGAGCTGCCTGGCCACGCCTCCACCTAGCAGCTGAGCAAGGGGGACGTCACTGCTTCCAGGGAGCACCCAGGTAAGCGCTGCCCAGAGCCTGCCTCACCCCTCCCTTGCCTTCTGGTACGTGTGCCTCAGCTCCTTGATCTTTGCATGGCACTGTTGCGTGTCCCTATCATACCCCTTCTCCTCCATGCCACAAGCATGGTATCAAAGTTCCTGCAGCTAGAGCAAAGCTCTGACAGCACAGACTCCTCTCTCCGAAAACCGAGCAGATCCACCACTTCACTACACTGACACTACGTCGCTCTACCTACATCGCCCTAAGCACCATACCTTGTGGTGAGGTGATTTTATTAGGTTGGTGGAGCAGGAGAGTTCAGTTGGCAGGAGGAACATTGCAGTGTGTACACCTCTATAGTTAGTTCAATGTACCTGCCTTCTGTCAACTTAACTTTGTAGGATAGACGGGCCCTAATACTCAGCACTTAGTATAATATGTACTATATGTAACTAAGAGAAAATAACAGAGTACACAGCAATAATACAGTACAATAAAAGTGTCTGGAGCAACTGTGTCACCTTTGTTACTAAATTGTTGTTGGATAGAAAAATAACCAAAATTAAACTTTTAAAAATGGGATAAAGAATAGCAGCAGTTGTTCAAACCGCACATTGGTACTTGTGCCTCTGAAAATACAGAGCAAGGATGTCAATCTTTACCATCATATTCACACTTTTGAAACCCATGGACATAGCAGAGTACCCTTGCAAAGTGAACTGCAGGAGTGGGGCTTTTTAATTTTTATGATTCTATCAATTAACTATCCCCACTGTAAATATTAACATTTCCATGGACTTAATTTTAAAATAATTTTTGTGTTAAATAATACTTTCATACAGGATTTCTGGCATGGTACCAAGAGGACTCAGGTAGATTAAAATATTAGTTAAAGGGAGGTAAAAAAGAAAGAAAAGACATTCAGTTCCCCAAGGTGGTTTTTTGGTTACTCTAAAGTCTTGAGGATACTTATTTGTACAGATCTCTCAAATTGCCACAGCCCTGCCAAACACGACATTCCAAAGCTCCCATGGGCCCCAGTTAAGCCCAACAAACACACCCTTTCTAGGCTGACCACGCAATCATAGACTCAAAACCCAACTGGAAAGAACATATTTCATATACAGAAAATATGTTAAGTTTATATGTGTACATGTACTAAAATTTATGAAAGGGGTCACCCTCATATTAGTGCGGCACTAGCTCATAGAAAAATCAAAATGAGAAATGTGCTACCTGAGCATCTCTCCCTCATGCCCTGCATGAGTAATTTTAAAAACTTAAATAAATCACATTATGATAAAATTAATGTCATCTATGTACAGAGGCAGATCACATATTTTTAGAGAGACATACAAAATGAAGTACTTAAAACAGAGAATTTAAATCTTGAGAAACTGCCACATTAGAGAAAAGGAATAAATTCCAGACTGCTTCAGTTCTGACACCAAGTCCCTCTGTGACCTTGGACAAGTCACTTAACTCCTTTCTCAGCTTCCCACCAGTAGAATAACACCTAAACCACAAAGGAATTGTAAGGATTAATTACATATTAGTAAAACAATGCAAAGATGAAAACCACTATGTAAATTCATACAGTCATTATCAAATTATTACAATGTTAAAGTAAATGAAATTTGGGCCCAACAGACCTAACAGTATCCTTTTATTTAATGACACTGATTATTTCAAATAAACACAAAAGTTTGTAATCTATGACATTATATAACTCCTACTGAAAACAATTTATCATACATAAACATTGTGCGTATCACTTTTATCAAAAAGTAGTTTTAGTCTTTGAGAAACGTTGTTCCCAAAATTAAGAAGTTATTGTGTGTGTGTGTGTGTGTGTGTGTGTGTGTATGTATATACACACGAGCACAACTAAAAGTTTAAAACGTTAGACT